TCCCAAATTGTGCCAATAAATTCATGACCTGCTGATGATAAGGAAATGGCTGAGAAGCTGATTCTTGGTGCTGGGGGGGGGGCGGCAACAGTGGGTGGGCTTCTAGTGTCCTGGCCCCACTGATGGACCTCCTGATGGCACCTGGTATTTTTGGCCACTGTGTGATACAGAGTGTTGGACTGGATGGGCCATTGGTCTGATCCAACATTGGCTTCTCTTGTGTTCTTATGTTTAATCCAATATTGAACTGATGGAGAAAGAAAGGCAGGGCAGCCCTTTCCTTTGCTGCGGATCCTGTAATTAGTTTATGCACTTAGATATCTATATCCCACTTTTCTTTCAAAATAGGAAGACCCAAGGCAGCCTGCATCCTTCTCATCTCATCCATTTGATCCTCAAAACAACCACCTTGTGAGGTAGGTTACTCTGAGAAGGTCACCCAGGAAGCTTCCACAGCAGAGCAGAAATTTAAACCTGGGTCTCCCAGATCCTAGGCCAGCACTCTAACCACCACACAGCGCTGACACCAAGATCATGGTTCCATCACAATGTGACCATAATCATTCTAGTTTGAGCCTTGATCCCAAATCCAAATTTTCTTGGTCCTTCTCCTGCACCTACTGCTGGCAATTCAGTTATGTGCCATCAAAGTTTCTTCAACCCACAAATTGTAAATCAATGCATCTTTTAAATATGGCAACAACTGTGGCATTACAATGCTACACTGCACTTTCTTTTGCATTTTAGCCAAAAATTAGAGGGCACACCATGAAATGACTGTAATGTTACAGTGATATATAGTTTATGTGGAAATTTGTTGTTGTTCTTGTTCAGTCGCACAGTCGAATCCAATTCTTCACAACCCCATGGACCACATCATGCCAGGCCTTCCTGTCTTCTGTCGTCCTCTGGAGTTTGCTTAATTTCATGTTAGCTGCATCGATAACACTGTCTAACCATCTCATCCCTTGCCATCCCCTTCTTCTTTTACCTTCAATCTTTCCCAGCATCAAGGTCTTCTCCAGTGAGTGCTCCCTTCTCATTTGGTGGTCAAGTATTTGAGTTTCAGCTTCAGTATATGGCCTTCCAGGGAACAGTCAGGGTTGATTTCTTTTAGGATTGACTGATTCGATCTCCTTGCAGTACAAGGGACTCTCAAGCATCTTCTCCAGCACCATAATTCAAAAGCATCTATTCTTTGGTGCTCGGCCTTCCTTATGGTCCACCTCTCGCAGCCATACATGACTACTGGGAATACCATTGCTTTGACCATGCGGACTTTTGTTGGCAGGGTGATGTTTCTATTTTTTATTATGCTGTCTAGGTTTGCCATCGCTTTCCTCCCAAGGAGCAGGCATCTTTTAATTTCATGGCTGCAGTCACCATCTGCAGTGATTTTGGATCCCAGGAACGTGAAGTCTGTCACTACTTCCACGACTTCCCCTTCTATTTGCAAAGGAGTGATCGGGCCGGATGCCATGATCTTAGCTTTTTTGATGTTGAGCTTCAAGCCAACTTTTGCGCTCTCCTCTTTTACTCTGAGCAAGAGGCTCTTTAGGTCCTCTTCATTTTCTGCCATTAGAGTGGTATCGTCTGCATATCTGAGGTTGTTGATGTTTTCCCCAGCAATCTTAATTCCAGTTTGTGATTCATCCACGCCAGCATTTCACATGATGTACTCTGCATATAATAAGCAGGGTGACAATATACATCCTTTTTTTCCCTATGCTAAACCAATCAGTTGTTCCATATCTGGTTCTAACTGTCGCGTCTTGACCCTTATACAGGTTTCTCAGGAGACATGTGAGGTGGTCTGGGACTTCAATCTCTTTAAGGACTTGCCACAGTTTATTGTGATCCACACAATCAAAGGCTTTAGCGTAGTCAGTGAAGCAGAAGTAGATATTTTTCTGGTACTCCCTTGCTTTCTCCATAATCCAGCGAATGTTGGCAATTTGATCGCTAGTTCCTCTACCTCCTCGAAACCCAGCTTGTACTTAAGGCAGTCCTCTATCCACGTACTGCTAAAGCCTAGCTTGTAGGGTCTTGAGCATGACCTTGCTAGCATGTGAAATGAGTGCAATTGTGTGATAGTTTGAACATTCCTTGGCATTGCCCTTCTTTGGGATTGGAATGTAAAGTGACCTTTTCCAATCCTGTGGCCAGTCTTGTGTTTTCCAAATTTGCTGGCATATTGAGTGCAGCACTTTAACAGCATCATCTTTTAAGACTTTGAATATGTCAGCTGAGATACCATCACCTCCACTAGCTTTGTTGTTAGTAATGCTTTCTAAGGCCCATTGGATTTCACACTCCAGGATGTCTGGCTTGAGGTCAGTGATTACATCGTTGAACAAGTAAAATGAGAATGCGGGAAAGGCCTGAGTGACATCTGAAAAGTTCTTAATTCTCGATCGTGGACAGGCCACATAATGAGTAGCGGTTTCTCAGTGAGTTACAACTGTTTCTGTTTGTTTGTGTGGAAAACTTTAAAAGGGACTTGTTTAAAAAACAAAAATCCAGGATCCATATGTGGATGGCTTCCCATTGTTTATTTTGGAGGAAGTGTATTCAAGCACCAGGAAAAATCAGCCCTCATGGTTAGCCACAGAAAATATTTTTTCATCTTGATTTTAAGCTGTGTAAAACCGATTTTTTATTAGATTGGAACAGAGATTAAAAGCCATTCGGTACTCTATCCTCCCCAAATGTCTCAACAGTGAATTTGGCATATAAAGTTTCTCTCTACCATATCCCAGTTTCAATGTGGGTCTTATTTGTGGGAATGTAGGCATGCCCGTGAATAATGTGCCAGACCCATTTCTGTTACAGACTGATTTCCTATCCCTACAAGTGTCTACAGAGCGTTGAATCCGCTTACATGATTTAAATGCATGTTTCTTTCTAAGTGCTATGTGCTCTATGTACTGGAATCGATGATATAAATATATACAGAGCATTACCTTTACCTCACACGCCAGCAAAGCTAATCCTCCCAGCAGCTGTTACCACTCAAGTACAAAATGAATATGAATTTAACCGTGCCTGGATCGAGCCTAATAAATTCTATTGTTTTTCTAAGCACTTCTGTGAATTAAAGTGAACTCTGGGTTGCCATCCAAATGCGTGCATGAGGCTGGAGTGGCTTTTAGGCATGTAGCCAAATAGCTTCCCAATTCCCTAATAGGGTATAACTCTCACTCCAGAAGATGCTTGCATCTAAGGCTGAAAAACAGGCTCTTCTCTGTTTCCTTGCTGTTTTTTTTTTTAATCTTAGCACTGGCACAGGGCCTCAGCAGTAGGGTTGCCACCCTCCAGGTGGGGGCTGGAGATCTCTTGGAATGATGACTGATCTCCAGACAACAGACGTCAGCTCCCTGAAGAAAATGGCTGCTTTGGAGAGTGAACTGTATGGTATTATACCCTGATGAGGGTGCAGTAGGGTTGCCAATACCCAAGTGGCACCTGGAGATTTTCCGCTATTACAATTGATCTTCAGATGATCTAGACCAGTTCCTTCTGCTTTGAAGGATGGACTGAATAGCATTATACCCTGATGAGGTCCCTCCCCTCCCCAAACCCCACCTTCCCCAGGCTCCACCTCCAAAATCTGAGGATCTCTCAGAATTACAAATGATCTCATGACTACAGTGATCAGTTTCCCTGGAGAAAATGGCTACTTTGGAGGATGGACTCCATGCCATTATATCACACGGAGGTCTCTGCCTTCTCAAACTCCATCCTCCCCAAGCTTTACCCCCAAATCTCCATGAATTTTCCAATGCGAACTGGGCAACCCTAATAGTCATCAGGCCTAAGAATTCAGGAAGAGAACTCCTGAATAACGTGTGGTTCCTTCATTTATACAGCAGCCTTGGCCATTTGCCCTTCTCCCTTGCCTTTCCCTTGCACTTGGGGATTATAGGACATGGAAAAGGTGATGGTCTTTTTAAAGCCTCATCATATCAGAATATATTCTGAGGCAGCAGCTCAGAGGTTAAAGACCAGAAGGCCAACAGTTCTGCAGTGCAGAATTTAGGGATTATTGGGCAAGTAGCAAGCCTTGTGTAGCACAACTGTACTACAGCAACTACTACAATGCCATAGAGTCCACCCTTCAAAGCAGCCATTTTCTCCAGGGGAGCTGATCTCTGTCAGCTGGAGATCAATTGTAAAAGTTGGAGATCTCCAGGCCCCACCTGGAGGCTGGCAACCCTACTTCAGGTAGGGTCAAAGATCTCCTCCTGGAATTACTGACAAAGATCAGTTCTCCTGAAGAAAATGGCTGCTTCGGGGGTGGACTTCATAGCATTGTACCCCATCCCACTGAGGTTCCTCTCTACCCCAAACTTCACCCTCCGCACCCCAAATCTTCAGGAATGTTCTGCAATTTTGTTGTTGTTGTTAAATTCAGTTTTTATTTGAATGTGCACATCTCTCTTTCTCTCTCTCTCAAAAAGGGTAGTCTTTTGGGGCTGGGTTGTTGTTGTTATTGTTATTATTTATTTACTTTTGCTGCAACCGGGTCTTGTTTTGCTGCATTTAAAATGCTTTTGTTGTTTCTTTTGCATTTTGCTCTGCTGTCTTGATATTTTTCTTGAACCCTTAAAGTGTGCTTGCAAAAGCTCATACCTTGAAAACTTTGTTGGTCTTAAAAGGTGCCACTGGACTCTACATTTGTTCTACTGCTTCAGACCAACACGGCTGACCACCTAGATCTACCTTTCTTAAATAGCATACACGAATTGCCTGTGCACGGGGGGGGATAAACGTACTTTAGGGTTTTTTTTGTTTTTGTTTGTTTGTTTTAAAAAGTAAGACGTCAAAGAACGCCCTAATTTTCACTAACACAAGCAGAACACTGCCTCGAACGGCCACAAGGGACAACGGTTCCAGCCATAGCAGAAAGTAAAACAGGACGATTATTTGCTGGACTACATTACCCAGCATACCATGAGCGGCAATCCGGACGCAAAGGAAGCCCTTCTGGGTCAGTCTATGATGGCTGCAGTAGGAGCAACCCGGTGCTTACAAGGCGGGAGGCCTCTTGCAGTTTCTCTTTTCCCGAGATGGTCGCGCCTGAGCCGGGCCGCATGGGGACGGCGGGAGCTCTGCCAGGGCCCGGAGGCGGGTGAGTCTTTTATTTTGCATTACTGTTGAAAGCACTTTGAAATGAGGAGGGGGAAGGCGCCCTGTTGAATCAGAAGGGCTCGTCCATCATATGACTTATTTCCACTTCGTGAGTTTCTGCTGAATGTGTGAACTGCCTCCATTCAAAAAGCACCCAGTCTGTGGTTATATGAAAGGTTATTTATTATTTAACTTTCTTTGCACCCCCTATTCATGCAACAATAAATACAGCGAATAAAATAGTTTCTTAAAACCAGCTAATAAACGAGAAAAATCAGGCGATGGCAGCCAGAGTGAAATTAAAACCAGGTATTTTATTTTATTGATTTACTTTATTTGTAGTCTGCCTTTTTTTGTGGATGTAATAGGAAGGGTGTGTGTGTGTGTGTGCACACGTGGTGAAAAAACACACAACTATATAGAATTATCTGACAAAATTAAAAGATTGTCCAATCCATGATGGCCCATTCATACATGCAAGGCATCATTTGAGTGTGCATTCTTCTAATGAGCATCTTTGACATATGGGTCAGTATTAAAATTGGCTATTTAATAGTATTGGCACTAGGTGAGAGGGTGTCACCAGATACCCCTTGGTATGTGGGGTTCCTCAAGGGGCAGTCCTCTCACCAATGCTGTTTAACATCTGTATGTACCTTCTTGCACAGCTGGCATAGAGTTTCGGGCTGGGATGCCATCAGTATGCTGATGACACCCAGCTGTATCTGTTGATGGGTGGCTGGCCAGACACTGCTCCTGCCGATTTAGCTGGGGGGGGGGGGCTGGAGACAGTGGTGGGATGGTTGAAACAGAGCCGGCTGAGACTGAATCCATCAAAGATGGAGGTTCTGTGGCTGGTTGGTGGAGATGCAGGAATGGGGTGCCAGCTCCTGGTTCTTGACTGTGTGCCTTTAATACCGGCACTGTCATGGACTGTCAAGAGCCTGGGTGTGTTTCTGGATGCCTCCTTTTTGATGGAGGCCCAGATCACAAGAAGAAGAAGAAGAGATTGGATTTATACCCCTCCCTTCACTACCCAAAGGTGTCTCAGAGCGGCTTACAAACTCCTTCCCCTCTCCCTCCCCACAACAGACACCCTGTGAGGTAGGCGAGCCTCAGAGAGCTCTTGACAGAAACTGCTCTTTTTCAAGATCAGAACTACGGCTTGCCCAAGGCCATCCAGCCAGGTGCAAGTGGAGGAGTGGGGAATCAAACCTGGTTCTCCCAGAGTAGAGTCCGCGCATTTAACCACTACATCAAATGTTGCCAGACGCATTTTTTCAGCTATACCAGGTCAGGCAACTAACCCCCTTCCTGTCTTGCCCTAACCTAGCCACAGTAATCCATGCAATGGTCACCTCCAGGATAGACTACTGTAACTTGCTCTATGCAGGGCTACCACTAAGACTGACCTGGAAACTACAACTGGTCCAGAATGCAGTGGTGTGGGTTTTTACTGGAACCCCATGAACAGTGCATATTCAACCAGTGGTCTGTCAGCTGCACTGGCTCCAGGTTTAATACCGGATCAGGTTCAAGGTTCTGGTATTAACCTTCAGGGCCCTAAATGGTCTGGGACCAACATATCTTCGGAACCACCACCTCTCCTGGTATAGCCCCCGAAGAGCACTAAGCTCAGGAGAGAAAAACCTACTGGTGATCCGTGGTCCAAAAGACCTCTGGTGGTCCTCAACAAGAGCCAGGGCTTTTTCAGCCTGGACCCTGACCAGGTGGAACTCTCTGCCTAATGACATCTGGGACTCAATGCAGTTCCACGGGTGGACAGCAACAGTTTTCTGGCTGGGCTGGCCCTCCTTTCTTGCCCCCCCCCAGGGATGGTGATAAAACATCCATTTTAGGGCCATCTGATATTGTTGTATGGTTTACTGTTTTAACTGTTTTGATTTGAATGTACTTGTACAACTGTTGTACACCGCCCTGGGCCTTATTTCTCAGGGGGCGACAGTCTATAAGCCGAATTTATAAATAAATAAATAAAATATACTGGGTTGGATTCTATGCTTTGTTCCACCTGGGCCAGCAGTACTTCTGCATGTGAAATTTTAGCTGATTTTTCTCTGCTGCAGACACTACATACCCGCGCCAGGAGCAGGATTATGGCCAGCACATTGGAAAAAGGGAGCATTAGGGATGCTCAGTGGCTGTAACTCTGCCCATTGTGTTTAGGATGCAGCTAAACTGTTATTAAATTACCTTGGTTCCATATTCCTATATGTTCAGAATTACTTCTGAGATTTTTCTCCGATCTCCTCCTCCCTTCAGTGTAACATTCTCTGATACATTGTTGGCTCTTTTGGTAGGATCCATGATACTTTTAGTCTTCTGCAAAACACTCGCAGTGGGCACTTGCGTGAGTTGAACAATAATGTTTAAATCTATAGTTGTTTTGCCTTAATCTTCGTTTTTATAAATATTTGAGTAGTCATGTTTCCACCTTTCCTGCTGTTTGGACTAAATCCTTGTTTTTCAGATGAAAACAAATCTAGCATTACAAAGCCTAGCTTTACGGATGAAAGAGTTCAAAGCCTGCTCTACAAGATGACAGGGCTGAACTTACAGAAGGTGTTTAAACCCATAAAACAGGAACTTGAACCTCCAAAGTACAAGCTCATGACAGAATTGCAACTGAAGGAGGTATACGTCATCGGTTTTGTAGAAATATTTCATTTTAGGATGCTGCTAGACTACGTTTTTTTAAAAACTGTGGCTGAGAAGAGTTGGCATTTCAGGCTGTCGTAGGAGGGGAGTGGCAATTGTGTTCTATTAACAGAAGTCCCTTGTGCCTGTGGAAAGAGCAGTTTGAATCCTAGGCATTAACTGCCTCATCAGGAGTCAAATTTATCCAAAATGCCAGCACAACAGAAAACATTTCAATGTTCCTATTACATTTAAAGTGAATTCAAAACAACCTTCCAAATCAGAAATTACCAGGGACTCTCATATTGATCCAGATGCAATCAAGTACTTGAAAGCTGACTAAAATCCAGTGTCTTCTGAACCAGTGATAATGGGAAAGTGGCCCCCCAGGTGGACCTCCTGATGGCACTGGTATTTCTGGCCACTTTGGGATACAGAGTGTTGGACTGGATAGGCCTTTGGCCTGATCCAACATTGGCATCTCTTATGTTCTTATGTTCTCTTGTTTGCCTACATTTGCAAACAAAAATTCCGTTTTTTGTGACATAAATCATCATAAGCTGTTCAGAGAACAGAAAGGATTTTTCCCCCTGAGTTTGCAGTCCTGAAGCATCTAAACAACTGTTTTTGTGAATGTAAATGAGTAATAGATGGTATACAAACTGAGGCCTGCAAGGAATCATGGGAAGGGTCAACAGTTTGTAAATCTCACTGCCACTCAGAGAACCTTCCTCTCCAACATTCTTTTCTCTTGGAGCCTTGAGCAGGGACATTTTTCTTCACTCTGATTTTTTCCTTTATCTGACACTTTTAGAGCATTTTTGAGCCCTTGTCAGGCTTTCCCCCCCCTGGGTAATTTCCACATGCCTTGGGATTTAGTGGGTATAAACATCTGCCTTTTCTGAAGGTTCCCATCTAGGCAGGGGCCAGCCAGTTTAGATATAATGGTAATCTCTAAAATGTGTGCATTTGGTATTTTTCACTAATGTTTGAACAGTCATGGAATCATAGAATGTTAGAGTTGGAAGGGACCTTGCAGGTCATCTAGTCCAACCCCCTGCACTCTGCAGGAGCCTAGCTGAAAGATAGCCCTACAACATACCCGAAAGATGGTTGTCCAGCCTCTGCTTGAAAATGTCCAGTGAAGGAGCATCCACCACCTCCCAAGGCAGTCTGTTCCACTGCTCAACCACTCTTACAGTTAGGAAGTTTCTCCTGATATTTAGCTGGTATCGACTCCCTTGTAATTTCCACCCATTAGATCTAGTCTTGCAATCCGGAGCATGAGAGAATAGATCTGCTCCATCTTCTACATGACAGCCCTTCAAATATTTGAAGACTGCAATCCTGTCCCCTCTAAGCCTTCTCTTTCCCAGGCTAAACCTACCCAACTCTTTCAGCCTTTCCTCATAAGACTTGGATTCCACCCCTCTCACCATCCTGGTTGCCCTCTTCTGGACAAGTGTTCAAGTGTAATGTTGCCACATTAGAAATGCAGTACTTTCTATCAAAAATGCATAGAAAACAAACAAAAATACCTCTGAAATTTTAATGCTGTTAATAACGCATAATTGTTTCCACATCTGTCTTTGTCATAATTTTACAGTGTCTTTTTCTCATGGCTGCCTTACAGCCATGGCACGTGAGCTCCTTTTAAAGTGCCCATGTGAGTCAAATGATTCAGTGGCATTTTACAGCTGTAATTAACCCTCACTTTTTTCTTTTTCTTTTTAGGCTACAAGGAATGCTGTTGAGAAAGCCAGAGAGAGGTTGGAAATGCCTCCTGTATTAAGTGAGCGGGAACCAATTCATGATGTATTATCAGAAGACAAGATTCTTGATGGAGTTGAGCCTTACAAATATGTATTTACAGACTTAACATACGATACTCCACACCGTGTGAGTCTCGTTAGTTGCTCTGGAACAGCACTTTATCTTGGCACAGCATGACTTACCTGACAGCCTCAAACTGATCAATTAGTAATTTCACTAATAGACCCTGTACTTGAAAAGGAAATATCCAATTTTTCTTAACTCATTACACATACAAGACCACAAATGTAAAGGGAACGGTGTCAAATGGGAGGTTGGGCACAGTGGAAGAATGGAAGCTAAATATTTCAAGTCAGGCACAAAATAGATCTTTATATTTCATTCTTTAAAAAAGTAAATGTGGCTTTTGTGCAGTAGGTTTATACAGGCCTGTGATACAGTTGCTTCAAGATATTGGTTTGAATTAGGGCTGATGCTCGGTTAAAGAAATCTTGGTCAATTTAGTCATTTAAGATTTATCTCACAGTGGTTTATGCATAAACACAAGATTTCTGAAGAAAAACAATACAGGGTTGGATCCCATAGATCTCTTCCACTAACAGCAATGCTTTTCTCTGGTGCAAGTACCCTACTGCTGATGGTGGCGGCTACAAGCATGGATGGCTTCAAAAGGGAATTAGATAAGCAGAGGTCCATCAGATAGGGGTTCTGTGGCAAATGATGCTCTGTCTTGGTGCTTGGGGGGGTCAACAGTGGGAGGGCTTCTAATGTCCTGGCCCCACTGGTGGACCTCCTGATGGCACCTGGTATTTCTGGCCACTGTGTGATACAGAGTGTTGGACTGGATGGGCTTTTGGCCTGATCCAACATTGGCGTCTCTTACGTTCTTATGCCATTGGCAGAAGAGTCCTTGTGTTAGTAGAAAGTGCTTCTGTTAAAGCAATGTATCCATGGGATTTAATCCATTGGATGTATTCTTACAAATTAGCGGGCTTTTATCTTTTTATTTTTAATTTTATACATTCATTAAAATTCCTTTTATTTAATTTTAGTTTTGCTGGGTGAGTCAGGGAGATTCTGAGCTTGGGAATCTCCTTCCCTCAGACAGACCCTCAGCGAGGCAAAAGGATCTTTCCTTGCCTTTGGAGACTCAGCAGGAGTGTGTGGGATACCTTTCTTATGATCAAGATACACAATCTTAAATGAGACATTGGTCTGACAAAAATGGCAGCCCTCGTTTTGAATATGCCATTAGGCTGAGTTGGTTTCAGGATGCATTTGCTGAATTAATAAATATTTTTTGGCATGATGGATCAGAGAGTGCAAACTTGAGACTCAGTACTCTGCAGCAGTTCATAAGAAAGAGAATAGAACTATGATTAAATTGCTCTTAGCTGTATGCCCTACCACATGCTGTCTTGACCCATGCCCGTCGTGGCTAATCAAAGCTGGCCACAAGGGGCTGGGGGGTGCCCTGAGAGAAATCGTCAACAAGTCCCTCGTAGAGGGACTGTTTCCTGGGGCGCTCAAGGAAGTGGTGGTGCATCCTCTCTTGAAGAAGCCATCCTTGGATCCAGCCAAATTGGCCAACTACCAGCTGGTGTCCAATTTGCCCTGTTTGTGCAAAATAATAGAGAGGGCCGTGGCAATGCAGCTACCTGGGGCGCTCAAGGAAGTGGTGGTGCATCCTCTCTTGAAGAAGCCATCCTTGGATCCACATGCTGTCTTGACCCATGCCCGTCGTGGCTAATCAAAGCTGGCCACAAGGGGCTGGGGGGGTGCCCTGAGAGAAATCGTCAACAAGTCCCTCATAGAGGGACTGTTTCCTGGGGCGCTCAAGGAAGTGGTGGTGCATCCTCTCTTGAAGAAGCCATCCTTGGATCCAGCCAAATTGGCCAACTACCAGCTGGTGTCCAATTTGCCCTGTTTGTGCAAAATAATAGAGAGGGCCGTGGCAATGCAGCTACAGACCTTTTTGGATGACGCTTCCATTTTAGATCCCTTCCAGTCCGGTTTTTGCCCAGGACATGGGATGGAGACAGCACTGGTCGCCCTCACAGATGTTCTTCGGAGGCATCTGGATCAGGGCATGTCGGCGGTACTGTTGGTGTTGGACCTGCCGGCGGTGTTCGACACAGTCGACCATCAGTTACTGGTCCACAGCCTTGCCGACATAGGAGTACAGGGGCTTGCCTTGCAATGGCTTGTGTCCTTTCTCCATGGTCAGGGACAAAGGGGGGCGTTAGGGGATTAGCTCTCCCAGAGGTACCCACTAGAATGTGGAGTGCCTCAAGGGGCGGTGCTGTCCCTGATGTTGTTTAACATCTACATGCGCCCCCTTTCCCAGATTGTCTGGAGGTTTGGGCTGGGATGTCACCAGTATGTGGATGACACCCAGCTCTATCTGATGTTGGGCGGCCGGTCTGACTCCAACCCGGAAGATCTGGACCGGGCATTACAGGCCGTGGCTGGTTGGCTTAGACTGAGCCAACTAAAGCCGAACCCGACGAAGACTCTGCTTGAGGGTAGGGATCCCACTCCCGACCTTCGATGGGGCACCATTGGTGCCAGCGCCAGAGGTTACGACCTTGGGAGTGGTCCTGGATGCCTCCTTAACAATGGAGGCCCAGGTAGCAGCCGCTGCCAAGTCAGCCGTTTACCATCTTCGGCTGATTAGGCAGTTGGTTCCCTTCCTCAAATACAACGACCTAGCAACAGCGATCCACGCAATGGTCACCTTGAGATTAGACTACTGTAATGCTCTCTACTTAGGGCTGCCCTTGTCACAAATCCAGAAGCTGCAGCTAGTGCAAAATGCTGCAGCTAGGCTCCTGATGGCTCTCCCCATGAGGGAACACATACAGCCTGCCCTGAAGGCATTGCACTGGCTGCCAGTAGCATACCAGATTCGCTTCAAGATGCTGGTTCTTACCTTTAAAGCCCTTTATGGCCAGGGTCCGATATACCTGAGGGACCGCCTTTCCCCATATATACCCCAGAGAGCACTTTGGTCGGGGTTGCAAAATCGATTGGCCCTTCCAGGTCCCAAGGATGCCAGACTAGCTATGACCAGAGTGAGAGCCTTTTCGGTGATGGCTCCATACTGGTGGAATGAGCTCCCAGAAGAGACCTTTTACAGTTCCGCAGGGCCTGCAAGACAGAGCTCTTCCACCAGGCCTTTAACTAGGAGCCACCATCACCACCACTACCATCGTTAATAACAACAGAAGCCTAGTGCCTGGTCCACTAGTTTCCACTAGCTGACTGAAACTGAGAAAGATCATCGAGCTGATTATCAAGTGAATTTATGTGAATTCGAGTGAATCTATGAGGCCATCTTGATACCATAACTTAATTGCTAGCACTTTAATTGTAAACTGTTATAATAAAATGTTATGGAATTGTTTTATGAACGGTTTTTAGATGGTTGTGATATTTATTGTCAACATGTTTTTATGATGTTAGCCGCCCTGAGCCTGCTTTGGCAGGGAGGGCGAGGTACAAGTTCAATAAATAAATAGAAATTGCAGCTTTACTAATTTTTTCCCCTCAATTTCAGGAACGTTTTGTTGTAGTCCGAGAAACGAATGGACTTTTACGCAAGGCCACTTGGGAGGAACGGGACCGGATGATACAGATCTTCTTCCCAAGAGAAGGCCGTGAAATTGCCTCTCCACCTCTGTTTAAGGACGAAAACCTTATGGTAAAATATGTTAGTAGACCTTGAGGAAGTCATTTAATTTATTACTTGTAACAGCAGGTCCACGGCCTGTTCAGTTTCTGTCTCTTTCCTTTTGCCACTGTGTCAGTATGTTTCTCTATCACACTCATTTTCACTAGTCTACCACAGACCCAATCATAATTAAATTTGACTGAGCATGTGACATATAAATCTGTTGTTCATTCTTGGGATATTGTTCATGTATTATTGGGTTGGATTCAGACAAATGTTTCCAAAGACTTCCACATGTAGAACATAATTTTGCTGCCTCCATCCATCTCATATAGCAGACCCAAATTCCCCCAGGAAATTCTGTTTCTCAGAGAGAGGGGGACCCACCTGGAACAAGGTTGCGGGGCATTTTGAGTGGTTGCTGGAGGGGGAAGGCAGGAGTTGCTACTGTTGGGGGCAGTAAAATGGACGTGTATTTCACCTTGCCAGATGAAACCCTGGGGGGGGGGGGCTGTGAGACACTTGGCAAACTCAATTTTCAGCTTGGTTGTCACAAATAGTGTGATTTTCCCCCCCTAGAAACTGGGCCTATTAGATTTTTTTGGGGGGCCCCCCGGAGGGGATTTTTTATTGCATTTTTAATATACAAAACTACAACGAAAAAATAGGAAGGGGTAACTACATCTAGGGAGAAAGGAAAGATAACCACAACTAACTAAAACCCCAATAATAGGAGATCATTACAACATCTTATATAAATGTTAATCTTAAAATGCTAGCATTACTTTGAACATAGTCGGCTATGCTTATTTATTTATTTATATGTTCAATTTATAGACTGCTCTGACCCGAAGGTCTCAGAGTGGTTTACAGGCAGGTTGCAAGTGCAAATTTACTCCTAATCTACGGCCACATAGTGCAGGGGGTGGGGCTACCTACGACACCCAGGTGGCGGGCTAGTTGTTCTTCCGGCTTCCGGCTTTCTTTTTCCTTCAGGCGGCCCATTTTGGAGTCGCGTCCCACTTTCAGGAGCAGGTCCTCCAGCTTGTGGTCTCCTGGTGTGCGGTCCCGTGTCAGTCTCGGCCCGGCCTATGTCCGCATTCGGCTATATTTTTTGTCTTTTTATCCAATGTTTTAACCATTTGAGAGAGTCCCCAGAGCATCCCCCAATAAAACTAAAGTTTAAAGGCACAATTCAGAGTCCTTCAGCCTTCATTTTGTCTTATCTTTTCTAATCCTCAATTTATATGTACGCTTGGGGGCAGCCGCCCCCTTGTCAGAGAGAGAGTCCTCGTCGGAAGACACGGAGTCCAATTCGCCACTGGATTTGCTGTCATCTTCTTCCTTCTCGACCCCGGCTGGGTCTCCCAGCTGGACTCTCAGGAACTCACGTGCTTTGGAAACAGAGTCAATCTTTTATTTTTTTATCTTGTATTTTGAAAATGACGGCTTCTGGAATTAACTATCTGTAAACAATGCTGTTTGTTTGGAGAAAGAGGATTAGATCTTTATATTTCTTTCTCTTTTGTCTTATTTCACATGGAATATCTTTTAGAATCCTGATGGTGTTGTCCCCAATTTTCAAGGGTGTTCTTGTTGTTGCTTTCAGGATAGAATCCCTTACATGTCGCTTTGAGAATCTCACCACTATTTCCCCAGG